AGCGCGCGGGACAATTCCTTTCCCTCTGTCAAACTTCCTACTCGCCCTCTCCGCGGATAGTATCGCCTATGACCAGTCAAGCGGTTGAAAAACTTCGCAAGCATAAATGTACCGCGTATCGGCTCCAGACTTTTTCACACCCCCGAGGCTTTTGGTTGATCTTGTTTTTTGATTATGCTTTTTTTCTGTTTTTCTGTTTTTTTTTTTTCAGTTGTACAGTTTTTACTAGGCTCAAAATGTGAATTTGCGCCTATAATACATGTTTTTATAATCACATAAACACACATAAACACACACCCACGGACGCGCACACGCGGGCATGGTCGCACGCGCGCGTGCGCGCGTATTCTAGGCGTAAATTCACATTTTGTGCCTCGGGGTGTGAAAAAGTTGAGGCTGAAATACGGTCATTTTGCTGCAAACGTTTTCAACGCTTGACTGGTCGTGGGCGATACTATCCGCGAGAGGGGAGTAAAGAAGTGACAGATGGAAAGGAATTGTCGCGTCCGTAATGTGCATATATGTATCTATGTAAAACCACCGGGCTCGACACGAGTGTCTCGTTAGTACATCTAGTTAGAGCTCTAGCCTCTCATTTAGGAAACTAGGGTTCGAATCCCCGTTAATTCTTTGCTAAAATATTTTCCAACTTGTGTAAAAGTAAACGTATTGCGACGCGCGTGTGTGTGCGTGCGCGCGCGCGCGCGCGTGTGTGTGTGTGTGTGTGTGTGTGCGTACGTGCGTTCGTTCGTAATATGCTTTGCATACATGTCTGCAATACGTTTACCTTTACACAAGCTAGAAAATATTTTAGGATTCGAACCCTAGTTTCATAATTGAAAGGCTAGAGCTCTAACTAGATGTACTAACGAGACACTCGTGTAGAACCAGGTGATTTTACATAGATACATATGATATATGCACATTACGGACGCGACAATTATTTTCCCTCTGTCACTTCTTTACTCCCCTTTCGCGGATGGTATAGCCCACGACCAGTCAAGCGTGGAAAAAATTTTGCACCAAAATGACCGTATTTCAGCCTCAACTTTTTCATCCACCGAGGCACAAAATGTAAATATACGCCTAAAATACACGCGCATGCGTGCGTGCGACCATGTCCGTGTGTGCGCGTCCGTAGGTGTGTGTGTATGTGTGTTTGTGTGACTGTAAAACGCGTATTATAGACGTAAAATCATATTTTGTGCTTTGGGGGGATGAAAAAGTTGAGGCTGAAAACCAGCCATTTGCCTGGCTAACTTTTCACCGTGCAACTGATGCCGTGGGCGATACTATCCGCGAGAGGGGGAGGGAAATACTGAGGGAAAGGGAGTTAGAGGGGCGGAGGCAGGAACGAGGAGAGAAAGAAGAAAGGGACGGAGGGAGGGAAGAATGCAGACGGAGATGTACACACGCATGCGCAGTCACACGCACAAACAAACGCACGTACGGCACACACACAGGCACGGATGCACATATTCCTTCCAATAAAGTTACTTCTCTCGCCTTCCCGCTCACCCTCTCCCT